TATTAAATGGCGGTCTTCTCTCTGGAAAGGTCCCAAGACTTTCCTTCTACGTTTGGGCTTTGCCGCGTGGGCGTTGGTAACCAGGAAGTTCTGGTGTGCGGTGTTTTAAAAAAGGTTAAAAAAAATTAAATGACTGATTAAATAAGTGATCGATTAAAATTTATATCATCATTTAACAGGAAATATTATTAAGTACAATATAATATTAGATAACACTTATATAATGTAATAGGTAGCGCTTATATAATAAAATAGACATTTAATTGAAAATATTATCAAGTACAATAATATATTAGGTAGCGTTTATATAATGTAATAAGTAAAGCTTATATAATAAAATAGGCTTTTAACCGGGAATATTATAAAGTACAATAACATATTAGGTAGCGATTATATTATATAATAGGTAGCGTTTATATTAACTTATTTTCTAACTAAACCGATATATTTATACCGATAATATTACAAATTTACCTATTACATTATAATTATCGGTTTCGATATTTTGGGATCGATACAATTTTAAATGTATCGACACTTTATGCGTGCACCTCGTTGGACATTCATTCTGGAAAAAAGTATCTACACAAACTTAAAACGTGTTGATACATTATGTAGACATATTTTCTTATAAAACCGGTATATTTCTATCGAGTACATTGTAAATTTACCTATTACATTGTAATTATTGGTTTTGATGTTTTTGGGATCGATACTTTTAATAAATGTATCGACACTTTATGCGTGCATCTCGTTTGACATTTATTCTTGACAAAATGTATCGACACTTTTTAAATTTGTGTCGATACATTATATCGACATATTCTATCATAAAACATGTATATTTATACTGGTTACATTGTAAATTTACCTATTACATTATAATTATCGGTTTCGATGTTTTTGGAGTCGATACTTTTAGAAAATGTATCGACACATATGTTTACCTATTCTCTTATTAAATCGATATATTTTACCTATTACTTTATAATAATTGGCTTCAATGTTTTGATGATCGATACTTACAATAAATGTATCGACACTGTTTTGAAAACTTTATGTTTGAGAGTCATACTGGACAAAATGTTGGAAACAAATCTTTGTGTTTACTAATTTTATCATTAAAAAAATATATTCTTACCAGTTTTGTTATTATAAGGCATAACAAAACTGATAAAAATTATTTAAAACATTATTATTTCTACCTAAAACATCAATATTTTTTAACATTTCCGTTAAAATGCCCAACAATAACAAAACTAATAACAAAATAACAAAATCGGTAGCGCTTTTACCGATTTTGTTAAGAAACTCGGTAAAATGTGAAAATAATAACAAAACCGGTAGAAATAATGATGTTTTCGGTAATTTTTACCGGTTTTGTTATGCACAACAATAACAAAACCGGTAGAGCTTTTACCTGTTTTGTTAAGAAACCCAATAAAATGCCAAAATAATAACAAAACTTGAAGAAATAATGATGTTTTCGATAATTTTAACCGGTTTTGTAATGCACAACAATAACAAAACCAGTACTACCTTTTTTAGTCGTATATTAAGTGCCGCACATGAGCATTTCCCGTTGTAACCTTTTTCTTGTTTTTTTTTTAATTGTGTTTTCTTTTGTTGTAGATTGTGTTTAACTAATGGGACATGAATCAAATAATCTGACTAATCAATTGTTTTTTTTAGATTTTAGATTCAAATATTATAAATGTTATGGGTGAATATATATTATATAAAATAAAAAATTATGTATTTAATATTTAAATTATCAATTTTGACCTGTTTTACTATTTAAATTTTTAATTTTTTTTTAAAATCATACTCAAATTTTAGTTTCTGTTTCATTTTAGTATCCTCCCATTAAAAACTTTAGTTTTTATTTCATCTTAGGATCCCGTTCAAAATTTAACGTTAAATTAAAAAAATTAAAAGTTTAGTACCAAAACAGACAAAAACTAATAGTTTAAGTACTAAATGCATTAAGTTTTTAATGATGGGTACTAAAATAAAATTAAAATCAAACGTTAGATATGATTTGAAAATTATTAAAAGTTTAAGTACTAAAACAAACTTAAACTAATAAGTTAAGTACTAAATATGTAATTTATCCTAAAAAACTAATCGGATCTTATCGATCCAAAAACCCATTAGAGGGGGCCCGATAATGATCATTAGAGGTGGGATTGTAATGATGAATGAGGATCTTATGCATCTGGTATGTGATACATTTTGGATAATGCATGGTACATGCGTTTCGTTTAATATATCTAAATAAATATTCAACTTACAAAATACATATTTTTTAATTAACATATTTTGCAAATAAGATCCGTGAAATTTTATAAATTAAATAGTAATTTAATTAATATTATCATTGTAATATCGAAGATTATCTAGGTTCCAGTGTGTATTACTATTAACATTTTTGAGTTGCTGTTATTGTAACTTCTTAATATCTAATTACAATTGATGAAATAATAAATACAAAGATCGCATGCATAAGCAAAGTGTTTCTAAATAAACAAATAAATGTAAAATAATTAAATTTAAAAGTACAACATAAACAATTCAACCTAGACTAATATTTATATTGAACGATAATCTAGAGAAATTAAGGATATGGGGTTTTTTTTATGGAAAGAAAAAGATCAGATTAAAATAAGCTAGAACACCAGGGTGAGTAGCACTAATGCAATTAACGTCCTTCAACACAGCAGCGGCTACCTCCGTTGGGGCCGATTGAAAAACGTTAATGATTTCAACACACCAGGGTGAGTAGCATTAATGATTAACTGCCGTGTACGAGTTTATTCAGAATGGCGGTAGCCGTTGATCGACATCATGGATTAAAACCGTTAGGCAGATCTCAAAGATGCAAACTCCAATCCTTCACCCAACTTGAGTACAACATTCTTGAACATGGCCACAAAGACCTTGCTCACTCTTTGAAACAAGTATTTGAAGTTGCAAATTTCCATCGTAGTTTCTCCACCCCTTGCCTACCCTTTGCCACTAATGTGGAGGAAGAGCTTGACACCCATCATCATCCCAGGGTTGAGATTATCGGGGGCCAAAGAGCCCCGAGAATCACTGCCCTTGTTGTTGAGGTGGCCATGGCCATTGCCTCTGGGGAAGTACCTATACCTGCCTCCAACGGGCTCAGTGCTGCCTACTTCTTGCATAACCGTAGTGGTGAAACTATAGCTGTTGCAAAGCCCATTGACGAAGAACCCTTAGGTTCCAATTACCCAAAAGGTTGTGCGGGATCGAAGTTGGGACAGCAATGTACACGGCGTTCGATACGTGCAGGTGAAACTGGCATTCGGACATTCGTGAATTGGCAGCTTATCTCCTCGACCATGGTGAGTTCGCTGGTGTTCCTGCAACAGCTCTTGTGAAAATCTCTCACGTTGCATTTCATGTCAATGGAGCAACTGCTATCTCTGCCACACCTTATAAGATTGCCTCCCTACAAAATTTCGTCCCTCATGACTTTGATGCAGGGGAGCTGGGGCCTGCTGGTTTCTCAGTGGCTTCAGTTCATAGAATTGGGATATTTGACTTAAGAATCCTGAATCTAGACCGGCATGCGGGAAATATTCTTGTCAAGAAAAAGGACCAATGTGAAAATTATGCTGCCGGGGCAGCTGAGCTTGTGCCCATAGATCATGGTCTTTGCCTACCAGAGTTCCTTGATGATCCATACTTTGAATGGTTGCATTGGCCTCAAGCATTAGTTCCTTTTTCAGAGTCAGAAACCGAGTACATCCTGAATCTAAATCCAAATAAAGATGCAGAGCTTTTGAGGAAGGAGCTTCCATCGTTGAAGGAGTCCTCAATACCAGTCATGATCCTTTGCACCGTTTTTTTGAAGCAAGCTGCTAGGGCTGGCCTTTGTCTCACGGACATAGGTGCAATGATGACTCGGGAGATTCAGGGTAATGAAGAAAAACCAAGTATGATAGAGGCACTTTGCACAAAAGCTAAGACAAGTGTATTTATCAATATCTCGGAAGTTGAGGATGATATAGATAACAACCATGATAAAGTTGAGTTTGACACTGGAACTTTTCCATTCAACAACGAAATCGAAGATATCTTCAATGAGGTTGCAGATCTTCCCAAGCTCTTCCGACGCCCTTTGAATTTGGCTAAACCACCAAAACCTTCTAAACTTTTGACTGCAAGATCGATGCCAGGATTGCATGGTGTGGGTTCATTAAGCGACAATTACAACATCAGATTTAATACAGACTGCTATGCAAGAAATGATTGTAGCTACAATGACAGCATGAGTTTCTCGGTGCAAAAGAATAACCATGAAAATGGAGGCACGTATTTGGGGGATATGAGTGAAGCTGAATGGGAGATGTTCCTGGAGAGTTCTGAGAAGCTCTTGCCTCAAGCATTTGAGGACTCCAACAAACAAAAGTTGGGAACTTCTTGCAATTTCTGAACGATGTCTGAAAGGTAATACAAAGAGTATCCTACTAACTAATATGTACAAATCATTGTACATTAAATTAATATTTGTTCGTATATATGAGTCGTAGTATAGGAATATAATTATATCATGTATTTGTACGTGTGTTACATATAGTTAATTAGGGTACATATGGATCGTAAAACAAAGTGATTGGCAGACAGCCGTCCTTCAAACTTATTTACTTGCCTTGCTATTTTCTCCCCCTTTTGCATTGTACGTACTTAATTTGTAGAGGGACAATTTCCCTTAAACATGACCCTGTGTTTCAATGCAGACGCTATTTCTTGCATTTATTTTATTATTTTTTTTCACTTATAGACGCTTTCTTTTCTCAACTTGAGAAGTTTGAAAAGAAGGCATTATCTAAATGGGAAAGTCTTAAAAGGAAAAAAAAAGGATAAGAAGCCTAAAAATGATTTAACCAAAACATAAATAGATGGGTGGCAATCCTAAATAGATGATGAAATGTTTCCACCATGATGAAGGCAGGAGTCATTTGTTTGCAGAATCCACAAACAGAAACTACAAATTAAGTTGAAAAACAAGAAACTGAAGCAAAAGGGTAAGCACTAAACCTGCTAATGTCACACATTTTTTAATTTTTTCATCTTGGAAGGGGGCCATCGTCCTTCTTCCTCAGCTTCCTCTTGCGAACGAGTCGCTTTCTACGAAGTCTTATTTTCTTGGCTAGCTTCACCTTCATCTTCTGTTCCATCAGTTGCTGCGTCTTTGTCTCTAAAGGCTGTTGTTCCACCGTCAAAGCTTCCTTCTTCGTTTCCTCCGGAAGCTGCGCCTCGCCGCCATCGGTAATTGCATAAGATGCTTTTAGATTCCTCGCCGATTTTTTCATGTTGGGTACGAATTGTGTACCGGTTAAACATTTTGAGTGAGGATGATCGATGGTTTTTAGCCGCGACCTGGGAACTGATAACCAATGCAAAACTCTTCGAATGAGATCAAAGAGATGCTTATATTGAAATGAGTAATCGAAGGCCTCACAATATCGCTGTGTGTTCTATCAAATGCCCCTAAGAGTATCAAGTGAAAATAAATGCTACTTACTAGGTAAAACAGCGATGGGCAAGGATGTTGCGCAAGGAGGAGCCGGTGTAGAAGAAACAGAGGGAAGTGGATTAAAGCGAAGGAGAGCCATCTTTTCCCCCACTCTCGTGGATAAACTAGATAAACGCCCTTTTTATCCCCGACGAGGGGTGCATGATAAGTTGAACAGGTCAAACTTGACTCAGTTAAAATTTCGTAAAATTTCGATTCAGGTTAACTTGATTTGAATTCTAGTTAGAGTTTAACTCGACTCGATAAGTTTACAATTAACTCTTTAATATTTAAATATAATTTTTTAATAGCCACCTTACTAAATTATTCACTCAAAAAAATTATTAATTACAAATAGATAACAAAAAAATGATAAATTATTAATCTGTTAATTTTTTTTATAAACAACAAAAAAATGTTAAATTATTAATTAATATTTTACTACATCCAAAAATCAAACCATATTTATTATTTTAATGTATATGTGAATTGTTATTTTGAAGTCTAGACTTTAAAATTATTTCGTACACTCTTTTTGATATTTTTTTTGTTAAATTTATTAATTTATGTTTATATTAAGCTCTATAGAATATTAATAGATTTTACCTATAGCTAAGAAAATAAAATAAAAATTTTGGTGAGTTTAACGGGCAACGAGGCGAGCAATAATTTTTTTTGACGAACACAAATCGAGCAAAATTTTAACGAGTTTAATGAGCAACGAGTTGAGTCGAGCAACAAAATCTTTTAATGAGCACGTGTCGAACACTGCCCGACTCGCAATCTACTCACTCGATGAGCACCCATATTCCGACATTCCCGTAATTGGTTTATTGCATGAAATGTCCTCAAATTATGAAGATATTCTAAATTAATTCTTAAAAAGCACGACAAAATGGATAAACAATTACGGACAGAACTCGACACTGTACTAGACCAGGAGGAGAGTTTGTGGAGACAAAAAGCACGGACAAAATGGATACTGGAAGGGGATCGAAACACTGCATTCTATCATGCTTCAACAATAACAAGAAGAAGAGCAAACAAAATCGAAACCTTAAAACGCGAAGATGGCAGTTGGAGTACTGATCAAGAAGAACTTAGAGAAATGGCAAACCAATTTATACCAAACTATTCTCAAGCAATGAGGATCCTAAATACAATTATGAAATAAGAGGCAAGTTCAAAAAAATAGAAGAGCATGAAAAAGAAAGCCTTACACGAGAAGTAACCAATGAGGAAATCAAGGAAGCTATTTTTGGAATGAGACCACTTAAGGCACCTAGAATAGATGGAATCCATGCGTTATTTTATCAGAAAAATTGGAGCTTAGTTGGGAATTCAGTTTGCATGATGATCCGGAAAATATTCACAGAAGGAATAATGCCAGAACAACTCAATCAGACAATACTGATACTTTTACCAAATGTAGCTAAACCAAAAAAAAAGCACCAGTTCCGACCGATCAACCTTTGTTCAGTGCTATATAAAACAGTCACAAAAATCATAGTTAATCGTCTGAAGCCCCTGTTACCAGAATGGATATCAGATAACCAAACCAGTTTTGTTCCGGGTAGAAGCATCATTGATAATATCATAATAACCCAAGAGGTAATACATTCTATGAGAAGGAAATCTGGAAAAAAGGCTGGATGACAATAAAAATCGACTTGGAAAAAGCATATGATAGACTGGAATGGAGTTTCATAGATGATACATTACGAGACCTAGGTATCCCAGATGCTCTATGTAATCTTATTTACCACTGTGTTTCGACAGCTTCGACACAAATATCGTGGAATAGATCATTGAAAGACGCTTTTAAACCATCAAGGGGGATAAGACAAGGCAACCCATTGTCTCCTTATATTTTCGTTCTATGTATGGAGAGACTATCACAAGCAATTAAAATAGAAATCGAAAAAGGACGATGGAAACCATTCCAAACATCAAGAAGCAGCCCAAAGATATCCCATCTATTTTTTGCAGATGACATGATTCTATTCGCAGAAGCCTCCTTAGACCAGCTCAATATCATCAGAACAGTACTAGAAAGATTCTGTGAAGTCTCGGGACACAAAGTAAGCATTGCAAAGATAATAATTTTCTTCTCTAATAATGTACAAACAGCACTGCGAAATCAGATAAACACATCATTTGGATTTACTATGGTTGATGATCTAGGGAAATATTTAGGAGTACCAATATTACACTCCCGAGCCACCTCGAAATACTATTATTACTTGGTACAAATGGTTCAAACTAAATTAAGCGGGTGGAAGGCAAAAACATTGTCACTAACTGGTCGAATTACACTTGCAAAAGCTGTTTTGGCAGCCATCCTAACTTACACCATGCAGACAGCAGTATTACCCAAAAAAAAATTGTGGAGAACTGGAAAAAATCATCAGACAATTTGTATGGGGTAAAATAGATGGAAAAGGAGGGTTGCCATTAGTAAAATGGGAGGAAGTATGCCAAAAAATATCGGATGGAGGTCTTGAATTTAGAAAGATAAAAGAGCAAAATGAAGCATTTATAATGAAAGCGGCGTTTAATCTAATAGTAAAAAAAGACGCATTGTGGGTTCGGGTTCTCAAGGCGAAATACAAATACAAAGATGAGATACCGACTAACATTAGAAGCCAAAACTGCTCCAAACTATAGAAAGGGATAAGCATGGTATGGGAGGATGTCCGAAGCAACATAACCAGAATAATAGGAAATGGGGTACATACCCATTTTTGGAGAGACCACTGGATTACAGAAATAGGGCCATTAATAAATTTGGTCAATCAATGAGACCATAATCAGGTGGGAAAAGCAACCATAAAAAGCATGACTGATGAAAATGGTAATTGGAACTGGAGGCAGATTGAACACCTTCTACCACTGCATATACTTCTGAGACTGGCAACGATTAAAGGACCTCACACAACTGCAAAAAATGATAGAATTGGATGGTTAAAGAGAGAGGATTATCAATTCTCTGTCAAAACAACATATGAAGTTAGAATAAAACAAAGGGAAGATACTCAAGAACTTATATGGAAGGTAATTCACGCATACAAAGGAACACAAAAGCTGAAAACATTCCTATCGCTAGTTTGCAAAGGTAAAATTCTGACAAATGCAGAAAGACTTCGACGACATCTTACAATTGATGGTAATTGCCCAATCTGTGTGACACAAACAGAGGATATTAACCATATTTTTTGACACTGCATTACCGTGACCCCTATTTGGATAACACTGGTGAAAAACGAGAGATTACAGAACTTCCTAACAATGGACATAAATAATTGGGTTGAAGTGAATTTAACAAGACTAAGCATGTTTGCTAAAGAAAGTAAAGATTGGGAAATCCTATTCGGATCGGTATTATGGAACATATGGATCATGAGGAATTCGATTGTCTTCAACAATCCTATGGAAGATAACACAGGAATATTAGAATGAAGCCGCAGGATGACAAACTCAATAAACAATGCAAATAGAGAAAGAGACCAGTCAAACAAATCACAGCCAATTGAATTGGTTGGTCCAACAGTTTGGCTACCTCCATCAGAGGGATGGGAAAAACTTAATACAAATGCAGCCCGTAGAAATACAGATGGAAAAGCAGCATGTGGAGGAGTAATCAGAGATTTGAATGGAAAATGGAGGATCGACTTCAAAAAATTCATAGGAATATGTTCTACAATGGAAGCAGAATTATGGGGAGTATATACAGGGCTAAGATGTGCATGGGAACAAGGAATCCAACAACTCATAGTTGAAGTAGATAGCCTCGAAGCAATACAGACACTGAAGAATAGCACAAACAAAGAATGAAATATTACCATAATACCGTACATAAGGGAACTGATAAACCGGGATTGGAACGTCAGATTGCAACATGTCCGAAGAAAAGGGAATAAAATTGCTGATAAACTAGCAAGAAGCGTCAATTTTGAAGATAGCCAAACCAGAATCTTACATGAGCCTCCTGCTGATATAAGCCAACTCGTGATTGAAGAATGCAATTAGGTTTAAGTAATTAGGTAGTTTTCATTTTCTTACAAAAAAAAAAGTCGATTACTTGGGATACAAAGATACAATAGCTTAAAACTTCATTGCGTGTTGATTTTGGTTCATAGCGAGAGAGACACACAAAATGATTCATTTTCCCGTTCCTAAGGCTTCATTTTGTTCCTTTAAAAATAAATAAATAAATAAGGTTTCATCTTGATTAGTCCGGACTAATCCGGATCGTACACTTGGCTCCATTTTTTATTGATGAGTCTTGCAGCAGATATTTTTTGCACACACAAAGACTTGAATTCGATATATGCATAAAACGACTCATTCGATGATCATGAAAGGACTGTAAAATGAAGTAGATCGATTTTTGGTGGATTATGCACCCAATGAAATGCTCAACCTAACAACTTCCGATAACAGATACACTGAATAACCATTAATGGTAACAAAAGTTTAATTTTTTTTCTATGATTGGGAGCTACTCTCATTATTTTTCCATAAAGAAAGTCTTGATCTATAAGAAACACTTGATCAATAAAAAAGATGTCAAAACAATTCGAGGCAAACGTTTTTATTAAGCTTATATATGATGAAGAAGAAGATTTTAACTTTTAATTGTATTTTTAATTTTAATAGATTAAATTATTTTATTTTAGGTCTTTTAAGCTTTTTTGCATGTAATGTTCTCTTTTTTTAAGGTTTAATTAGAAAATAAGTGCCTAAACTATATTGTTTTTCTCAAATAGGTACCTAATTTTTCTTCTATTCATCCAAGGGCTTGACATTACAAACGTTATCACTTTAGGTGTCTCAACCGTAACAAGCATTAAAGGACACGTTCCACGTTCTGTAACTTTAAATTTTTTATTTAAAATTTAAAAAATAAAAAATATTATTATATTTATAAAAAAAAACCTAAAACTTTGAAAACCCTAATTTTAAGCCTTAAACCCACGTCAGTCGTTGGCCTTTGTAGTCAATGAACCTCCACCCGACGATTGATAACCCCAAGAAAAGTTACCGAAATAGGATCTAATCAACGATCAATCGACGTGTGTATCCTGACGAACCCCGACCCCATGCGATCTCAATGGCCAATCAGTGACAATGATGACGACGTCTGA